TCCGTCGGCTCATCGGGATGGAGCTTGTGCTCTGTGTGGCACGCGGGAGGACACGAGCCACCCCCGGCGCTGCGCGAATCGCTGCTTTGAAGTCGAAAAGTTTTGCAGGGTCGCGTTTCCAAATCGAGTTTTCAGTGCGACACTGATCTATACACACTCGTTTCGCGAGAAAAATCACGACAATATATTTGACGCGGGCTGCAATTTTAAATGAAAAAAGCGCCTCTTACAAGCAAAGGACCTGGCGGGCTTAAGGAGGCGCCATGTTTTATCTCGCAAAGGCGGCGGCATGAAAGATGAGGCGCGCATATTTTGCATGGACTTTGCGCCCCGGTGTCAAATAGGATGGGGCGAAATTATCTTATTACGTAAAACGTGCACTCGCTCCTGAGCTGATATATTTCATATTCCTCATCATCCGCGTGAAAAATGACGAGAGCGCTGCTCGGAGCTTCTCGGCCGATAAGAAAGGCCACGCCAGATTTTCTCGCGCTTGATGAAAATGTCTCCAGGAATTATTGTGCCTATTGTGTCAAAATTCATTCCTCTCTTTTCTCGTCTGGTTCCTCCGGGCCCTAGATAGTGAATTTACTTCTGCACAAAGGCAGCCGTTTTCGATTGAGAAGGAAAGATTGCGAACGGTCGATGCGGATGCGTTCCGTGCACAAAAGGAGCCACGAATTATCTTCCGAGAAAAAAATTGAATTATGTCTGTTTTGCTCTTCCCTTCATACCAAAATCGAATCGATGGAAACGAAATTGGAGCTCAACTTTCTCGCATTCCAAAATTCAATTCCGGCCAAATTGAAACACGCAATTTCGCATCTTCTCCAGTTTCCGCGCTGAATAATTCCACTTCAAAATCTTTTAATACTTTATTTCCCCCGAGCCGAGTGCGGGGGCCAAACTGCGAAATAATATGCAAACGAAGATGGGATGAATGAATATTTACGCAGCATTAAAATTCATACAAAATGCGCGTCGGCATAATTTGGCGGCATCAAAACACAGAGCACGTCGCAATGTCTCCAAAGAAGGATGGAAGTAGCGCAGTGGCCCTTTCTTCTTCTCGTCCCGCGCGCGCCCTTAAATTATAATGCTCACTCACTATCGCCCATTTTTATTACACACTTTGCGCTGTCAGGCCGCTTGAATAAATGGACGGATGGAGAGCATGATTAAAATTGCCGTATAATAAAATTTCAATTACGCCCCGGCCATATGTTATGGCCTCCTTTTAGGACACACAGGCAGAGAGAGAGAGAGAGCGGAAAATGAGAGACGAGCCAGAAAGAAGCCCTTTCAAATCTGCCCTCCTTCTCATGATGATGATGATGATAATAATCATAAAGGAGAAAGAGAGCTCAATGGTTTATTTACTTGACTGTCGAGCGTGAAAAGGGAACCGCGAAGTAGAATGCTTTTTATACACACAGAGAATTTAATTTAAGAAGACCGAGTTTAAGAAAGAATTTTTCTTATTAATAACTCTCCGAGTCACAATAAGTGGAGAGGATTCTCGTCCAATTGCAGAGAATTTAATTGGCTGTTCACGTGGAAAGAGCACTTTGCTCAGACCCATTATCACTTTTTATCGTACCGGTCAAAAATATATATGTTTGGACCGTTTTAAGTTACCGAGTTAAAAATCGTTTCCCTTTGAGCGTGGGTTGGCGAACACCAATCATCCGACGAGTGCGGCTCATTTGAATAATTCCAGTTGAATCGGGCGGCCTTTGTAATTTATCAAAATTCTCTCTTCTCTTTGCGGCTCTCTCGCTCTTTCTCTCAGCGCGGAAAAGCTGCAAATGCCCACATTTGTAATTTAAATTCACACGCCGCTCAGCTCTCGATTGATTATGCGCAAAAGTTCTATATTGCATGAAATTATAATAAATTTAGTAATTCCCTTCTAGAAATTCAGGCAAAGAAGAGATTGATGTGTACTTTCGCAACAAAATTATTTTCTAAATATTCAAAAGGAACATTTATTATTAATCCGAAAATAATTTAGCTTTATTAGATCAAAATTTTAGGTTAATTTGAGAATTTACGTTGAAATACCCCAGTTAAGAGTATTTATATTACGACTTAAAAATACACAACCTGATATTTAGAATAATCAAAATAAGATCTTCCAGCTCCTTCTCAATGACCGCGGAGAAAAATTAGTACGAAATTTCTGGTTCATTTAATTCAATTCGTTTACAGAAAGTGCTTTTGAATAAGATCTGGTTTGTGTGCGCCATTTTTTAGTATCAATTTGGCTGTAATGTAATAAAAATGAAATAGGAATATGAAAATAAGAAAGGCCAAGAAAGAAGATGGTCTGTGTGTTTTACTGATATATTTGATTATATAAAAAATTTGTATGAATAAGAAATGAACGTTTTCTTTGTCTCGACTCTACTTTTAAGTGAAACACGTTGCGCAATGTGGCAAACCTAAAATACATTCAGCATTTCTTTCCTCTGAAAAACTTTTCTCGATTTGCTCCGTATTTATTTTTATATTATAGGCAAGCTCTAAAGACGTTTTTTTTTGTTCCCGGAGAATATCTTAATTTTTAAATGCATTCAAACGGCGGCGGCAGCAGGTTGAGCAATAAAAGCGGATCTCTGACTTGACGGCTGTTCTTCGTAACAGCGAAAAGCACTTTCCAAAAATGAAGATCCAACTTGTCAGCGGCGGCGAGAAAAGACAATTTCCTCGAGCCTGCGGAAAAACGAGGCGTCATTAGCGAAATGGCGAACCGCAACTGCTACAGAATAAAAGCACGGCCGAGAGTGTCCTTCGGAGGGTGTGGCCGTCGACAAAGGTTGACGTGTGCGGGGAGCAGAGAGCGAGCGAGCGAGCGGCGGAATTGTTTTGCCTTTTCTGCGAGCGGCCTCATGAAAAAAAGATTTTCTCATTTCCACGGCTGAAATTAAATTTTCATTACAAGCCGCCGACGAATGTATGCGCTCGGCACAACGCCTTCCGACTTGAGTCAGCACAAAAGCGGCTTTGCTCGTTCGTAAATAATTTAATTTATATCACCGCCTGCTAATTAGCAATTTGAGCTTATGCCAGTGTTTGGAATTAGCCCTGCGACGGACACATTTTGGCGGGTGGCGGTTTTGCCGAATTACCCGCGCTCGGCGAAATTGGCTCTTGGACGTTTTAAGGAAATTGTATTTTTGCTGCTTGGGTAAATTGAATTTTTTCCTTTCATTCCGGGTAAAGTGTTTATTGTTTCCTTATTATAGGAACATGAAAAGTAATGATGGTGTTTCTTTGTGATGAGTTTTTGGTAGTTTTAATAGTGATGTTTAAAATTTCATTTTAAAAAGCATTTCACTTTGAATGTTAAATGGAGAGAAATATATTTTTAACCATAAATTATAAGCTTTAAAAAAAAAATTAATTAAATCTATTATTTATTTTATCAGTGCAAGTTGAACCTATCTAAATATAATATAGACTCTTTCAATTTTCTGTCGCTTTTTATAAAAATTAACAATTTTCTGAAGCTCTAGGTCGATTTTAGTTACGTTAATACAAGAATTGTGTTTTTGAAAAAAAAGTGAGGAATTTTTTTTTATTTAGGCCTGTTTATTATTTTGTTCAGTTTTTAATTTTTAATTATATCAAACCTTCATAAATTATAAGGTGAAATACCTTTTTTCCTGAATGCACAATCTCCTCTTTTTGAACAATTTCATAATGAAAACATTCACAAATTCACAGGGGGATGTGTCATTTAACTGTTTGAGAGCAAAAGCCGAATTGTTTGCGTAAAACTTACAATATGGTCGCAGTTTGTTGCTGACATTGGTCGGCGCGGCTTTTAAAGTTCAGCACCATAACAAACAGAATGGCAGATCAGCGAATTAAACCGAGCCGCCGGCGGCGCACAGATTTGCAACACCCCTGCCAACCGGTGCTCTTTGTGAAATGAAATGAAACAAACAAAAACACACGGAACGAGAGGCGGCGGTGATTAAAATTTCCAGTCGCGCCGCCGCTCGGTCCACACACACGTCCATTTAATTATTAAATTCTCAGCAACACCCGGGCCAGTTGGAGCAGAAAGAGTGCAACGTGTGCAGCCAAACCACACCGCGCGCGACTGGGTTAATTAAAAATGAGCCCCGGAGCAAAAAGCAATTTCGGTGCAAATTCCAAAATAAATCTCGCCCGGCGCGCTCTTCATCAGCGCCGAGTGCAAATTGTCCAAAATCCAATCTGAAATCGCGAGCGTAACCGACACAATAGTGCATATCAAATTTAGAACCCTCTCACATATTCGCTGGAATCCGGCCTGGTTATTATCAGCTAGCTTTAATTAGAGCGGCAATCCTCTTAGCGGTTCATCATCTTGTTGGAAATGCTTCCGATGAGCAAATTGAGTAACTCGACACATTATAGGCTACATTAGTGCTTTGAAAAGCCATTAACGTGTGTGGGCGGTAATGAATTTCTTGGGAAATTTCCTGCACAGGTGGGAGATTCCCGGAAAGTTCACTTAATCGTGACTAATAATTCATTATTGCAATTTTAATTATCAGCGCATATTTAAATCAATTATTGGAAATTGCAACTTTTGACAATTATTGCATTATAAATTTTCTATCCCATATATTTGCATTCAGCGTGTGTGCGAAAAATCTACGACTGATTGTGAGAGTTTTTGGTAAGGATTGCTGAAAAACTGCGCAAGTTTTTTAATACCTGTTTATTTCATTACGGCAATATAAATTTTATGTCAAATGGTGAATCAAAAAGTTTCTTAAAACAAAATTTGCTAAAATTATGCGAATTTATATTCAAAAATTTAAAAAAAGCTTTCATTTTGAAGTGTTTTTCTTCAAATAATACCAAATATACTCCATCTTGTCATTTCTGTATTCGGCATCGCAATTTTTATTTGAAAATTCATCTTTCAGCTACTTTTTTTTTCAATTCCATGTTTTTAAAAGTCTTTCACCCATGCCAAAATGATTAAATTTGCACTTTACCTTTTCAAGCTAATCAGAAACTGCTATAAAGCTCGACAGACGTACCTGGAAAACAAGAAATTCATATTTTAGAACATAAAACTTGAAAATTATAGCACTTGGTCTTAAAAAAATTGAGTTTCAAAAACACTTCCTTGAAAGGCTTGAAGTTAACTATAAATAGTCTTTTATGCAATTTAAAAAGCAATATCTTAACGGAGAACATTTTCACTAACGTCAGCTTGTTACGACTTTTATTGCAGACTTTTTGGGGGAAAGCATCTATTTATCTGAAAATCTGCGCGTTACAATATAATCTACTGGATAAAAGTGACGGCCGAATGGGGGCCATCAAAATTTTTATAGCCCTGCGGGGTAAACCGGAGCCTTCGCTCTCGTTTCCTTTTTCCAATCTAATAAAATCTGGCGATTTATATTCCATATAATATGCTTTCCACCTCATTTACTCACAAACATCTCCTCATCAATTTCCCCACGGAATTTTTGTTTTTAAGGAAAAGAGCAGCTCTTTTTAATTCTTGTGTCTAAAAAGGATTACATTTTTACCGGATTAAAAATGCACCTCACGACTGAATCACTGCGAAGTAATTTAGAGTTTGCTGAGCCATGGCGTTTAAAGTGCATCTCTGAGTAATCCCGCGGCATTAAGTCTGTTACAACAACGGTGGCTGGAAGAAGAAGAAGAAGAAGCAGAAAAACGAAACACCCCTCTTGTGGATACACAGAGGCACCTTATACTCCTCTCGCTTGTTATTGTTAACATCTGTGCATTCTCACCCTCGGTGGAATTTATTATCTTATTTCCACTGCTCTGGGAGTAAAAAGTAGGTTGGTAGGCTCTTGAATCCTCCATTTAGACACTGAGAATATAAGGAACTATATTTTAGAGCTGGATATTTCAAAATGTGAATTCTTTATTAGGTTAATTTCCTTTTATATTGAATTGGCCGAGCCGACATCAGTAGACTTTCCAAAATATGTTTTTATATTTTGCCAAATATTCAGCTCATTGAGTGATTTATTTTCCAATTTCAAACTAATTAAAAAGTACTTGATTTTATTTTAAAGTAGTGATGATTAAATTTAAAATTGAAGTTGAAATTCTTTGAAAAGGTCAAAGGCTTAAAAAAATTTAAAACTAATTATAGACTAAATGTTCAACATTGAAATTTTATAAAATTCCTTATAATAGGTGACTTTAAGTGTGTTTTAAGGTGATTCAAAATTAAAAATTTAATTGAAAAAAGGTAATTAATAAATAATTTCATTCATTTATAATTTACTTTGAATTAACTTGTAATTGATTTCAAAATCTGTGGTTTAAAGAGGAATTTTACAAAACAATTTTATTTCACAATCCGTCTCCATCACGACGTTTACCACGATTCAATAGTTAATTTGCAGATTGTCGGTTTTGAAAGCTCTGTGTATTATTTGTTCAACGCAGTGATATTTCCAATCAACGGGTTTTGTGGATATGCCAGTCAATTACAGTAAAACAGGACGGCATTATTTACGCTGCTCAGCTGCTAATATTGGCGCCGCATCTGTTGACCAAACGCAAACAAAAACAATACAGGACAACAAGCAAGAATTTTGTAATCATCCGTCTGGTTGTGCCGGGCCTATTGTTTGCGAATCCACAGGGCTAAATAATTATTTCCTTCCTCCTAAAACTTTGCAATAGTTTGTTTCGGAATAGTGTGGAAATTAAAACAAAGGACTTGATGGAAGAGGAGCGAACAAAGGCCTTGAAAACCGGACAATTGAATTAGCCCTCGAGAGCTGTGCGAATAAGTGCCGCATTTGCGAATTGCGTGGAAAACTCGCAATCAGAAGCGGGACTACTACTTTTTATTCCGAATCTCCACCCGGCCGCTTTCGACAGGAAAGTTTTTAAGTGGCGGTTCTCTGCACAGGAAATGTTGAAGTTTGTTCGGTTCTCGCCGGTAAATGAATAGAGGAAGAAAAAAAAGGGAAAGGTGCTCCAAACTCCAGACGGGGCTTCAATAAATATTCTGTCCACGGCAAATTGGCCCGGGCTCCTTTCACTCTGATCAAAGAGCTATTTTTGCCAAGCAACACAACTTTTACACACGGAATTTGTTAACCAACATGATAATAATAAGAACAAGTTAAATTTTCGGTATTGCTTTTAGAGTTGCACGACCCAAGACAAAATAACAGTGCTGCCCGCCCAGGCTGAAATGAATTTTTGATTCGGCTTCTAAAGAAAACATGCCGGGGAATGACTTTCAGCCGCTCTTGCTATCGATTTTGCTTCCGTGCTTTTACAAAAGGGTATGTGAGGCTTTTTTGTCTTTTCACATATACAGCTCCACGAATGAATTGCACAAGGCAATTTCCAAGTTAATAACAGGCAGAATTCTTTCAGGAATTTTTAATAAACTTTAGAACGAAAACGGTATGATTAATTTTTCTACAAAAATAGCATTGATAAAAAGGAGTTATGAAAAAGAAAATAATCGTTTCAAAATTTGTTCCTGCAGAGAATGTTTAAACTAATCTAGACTATTTCTTATATACAGGACATGATTAAATTTTAATTAATCTGTTCCACTCTAATATAAATTAGAAATCAGGGAATCTGAGCATGAGCTGCTCATGAGCAAGATTGAGCAAAATTTTGCTCATGAGCAGCCTTGAGCAAGGGTTCGTTGAGCATGCTCATGAGCAGATGCGATTGAGCACCCTCCGAGGTGAGCATGCTCATGAGCAGACAAAGTTGAGCACCCCAAAAGTGAGCATGCTCATGAGCAGACGAAGTTGAGCACCCTCTGAGGTTAGCATGCTCATGAGCAAACGTAGTTGAGCACCCGGAAGTTGAGCATGCTCATGAGCAGACGAAGTTGAGCACCCCATAAGTGAGCATGCTCATGAGCAGAACTATTTGCTCAATAATATCCCCTCATCTGCTCCTATGTATTTTTCTCCCTGCAATAAATAGGAATTAGGAAATCATAAATACATAGTGAGACGAAGAAAATCCAGCGTGAGGTGCTCATGTATCGTCTCCAATACATTATCCCCATATCCTTCAAAAACTTCAGTGGCCTTCAGCCGCTCGCCGACTGCCGCCGCCACCCTCTCGCTGCTTCCCCTCTAGTCCTCTACTACATAGTTCCGCTCTGCCTCCTTTATTATCATGTGCTCCTGGCATTCATTCCTTTTTCAAAGACCCAAATAATCCAAGTATTAGAGCGCAATATAAAAATTAATTACGTTCCGACTAAAAATAAAATAAAAACTTTCCCCACTTTACTTATAAATACATTTGACTATTTAAAATCTCAATTTTCTCTTTTTAATTTTGGATTTAAATATAACCTTCAGTATTATAATTAGATTCTAATGAGAACCATCACATATTAATTCTTTTATTATTTTTATGTTTTAATTTTATGATATTTTTGGCCACTTTTAATTTATTATGCAATTGGATTATTAGGAGAGTAATACAGAAATTGTCTCCTCATATAAACTTGAGCATGAGCAAGATTGAGCAAAATTTGCTCATGAGCAGCCTTGAGCAAAGGTCCGTTGAGCAGAGCATTGAGCACATGCAAGTGAGCACCCTGAAAGTGAGCATGCTCATGAGCAAATGCGATTGAGCACCCTCTGAGGTGAGCATGCTCATGAGCAGACGAGGTTGAGCACCCAAAAATTGAGCATGCTCATGAGCAGACGTAGTTGAGCACCCGAATAGTGAGCATGCTCATGAGCAGACAAAGTTGAGCACCCCAAAAAGTGAGCATGCTCATGAGCAAAACTGGTTGAGCAGATGAAAATGCTCATGCTCAGAAACCCTGTTAGAAATTAATGAATTATTTTTCACGAGCAATTAGTATTTTGTCAACATATTTTTTCAATAGACTTGTCCGTCTGATACAGTTCTTATAGTAATGATATTATTCAGTAGAATTAAAATCAGGAGCTATTATAAAATTTTAGCAAAAATTTTCTTTAAAATATTATGTTATTAATAAAGCTTATTAACAAACATTTTTTTCATTATCCAAGAAGAACATTTTAAAACATGCAATTCTTTAGAACTGCTTTTTATTAAAATTAATATGAACGGAGAAACATTATTCATATTTATTAATTTTAATCTCCCTACTTTTGGATTCGCCAACAAGGATTTCCTCTCACCATAAATCTTAATTTCCCTTCTCGGCTTCTCATATCAATCCGACGTCACATTTAATTCAACTTTTAATCATTCCGACGGGGGTTGGAGCGAGACCACTCATTAAAAAGTGTGCTTTCTCTGGCTTCTCTCACTCGGTGCATTCACTCGTGATGAATAATTAACGCGAAATCGAAGGCGCGCGCGCGCGTGCAGCGGCCTTTTAGCGACCCCTTGCCAAAACAAATCTGGAGAAGCCGCGGGCTCATCAATTATGGGCTAGAAATTTTGCAGGCGGCGCACGCTGGTTCACCCACATTCCCTCTCACGTGATATTATTTGTTTGAATGTCAGCCAGCCGAGAGAGAGAAGAGAAGAGAGCGAAAGGCTGCTCCGTTTTGTCTGCATGCATTATGCACAAAACCTCGGCTTTCTTCAGCCGCGCCTCATTGAATCGCGAAAACACACAGCACAGGATAATTCACATAATGGCTGACGTCAGTCATATCGGGTAAATATTTGCTCTAGCCTGAGACCTGCCACCGCCTCATTCCCTATTAATGGGCACATCATCAAAGCCCGCCGAGTAATGTGCTTTCGAGCTCGGCGGCGACATGCATATGTGTAAAGGATGAAGACAGGTAGCACGTCGTCGTTTAACTACTCGGTACTCCAGCCAAATATGTATAATTTTTTTTTCTTTGAAGCTTTTATGTGCCTCGAAGAGAGACTCACTTATTCAGATTTACGACGATCGTTTCAGATATTGCCGCGGCTTCTGTTTGGTCTATGGAAAACCATCAAAAGGGGATTTGCACGCGAATATGAATCGACTGTGTCGTGGTTGGATCTGCAAATGTCGCTCTTTGGCTTTTGAAATTGAGGAAAGGTCAAC